GATCAAAACATCAGCATTAAAACCTACACACAATATTGGATCAAAACATCAGCATTAAAACCTACACACAACATTCAGATCGAAACATCAGCATTAAAACCTACACACAACATTCAGATCGAAACATCAGCATTAAAACCTACACAGAACATTCACATCACAAGGGACAATTATTCATTATTGTGACAGTGTTGTGTATTGCATAATATTTTTAAAAAGGAAGAACATGTTTTCAGACAATTACAGAACACAAAGTTTTAAAAGTTAGGTAATTAATTAATCAATTACGTTAAAACATTCACTACTGCTTACTAGGTGCATGGACATATGTCCATGCTAGGTGATACCATTTCCCTTGACTCAGGCTAAGACAAAGAATGAACCAGGAGAAAGCCCTGATGAGCTTGGTGTGTGTAAACAATGTAAAAGCACTAGACAACTGATTTAGTAACCTAAGTGAGAACAACATAGGAAAAGCCACACCACATGGTACAACCAATGACCTGAATATTAATTCTTCAACTGCCAACTACTACAGGTAACAGTACAAGAAAATAAAATCCAACTTATCTAAATGTTATTAATTTTTTGGCTCAACTGTACACAGTTATATAATTTAAATATAAACCTATTCCATAACTATATTTTTTTCTTTGGCTTAATCTGTATCACTGAATGCTATTCACAACCTATTACCGTGCAAAACATTTGCATTCTTTACTACAATATACATATTTGCGGGTAAAAATTCACAGTAAGTCATACAGCAGAGAATGCTGTGATTGTGGTAGTGTCTTGACAACAGGCAACAACACAAGAAAACTTATAAATAATATCATCATTCATCTTGCTGCCATTTAAATAATTGGTGTGCTAGATATATTGAACACCAGCATATGAGAGAGAGAGAGAGATTGAGTGTGTGTGTGTGTGTGTGTGTGTGTGTGTGAGAGAGAGAGAGAGAGAGAGAGAGAGAGAGGGAGAGGGGGGGGGAGGGAGCCTACCTCCTTCACACAGCTGCATCACCACCCACAGTTCATCTTTGACCACAAATGAAGTGTAATAAGACACCACATTCTCGTGATGACACTGGCTCATGGCTTGAATTTCTATCTACAAATAAAACAAAACAATTAAAAATGAACAATCTCCACACTGCTAAATTATCCCTGACTAGTCCTAACAGTTTTGGGATAACAATACAGGATAACTGGCATAAATATAGACACCTTAGACAAAAAATCCTGAATGATCCTGCAAACAATCTGATCATGTTGTTTTTTTTGTTTTTTTTTTAACCTGCATATTTATTTTATTATTAAAAGCACTTAGGTTGGTAGATTTTAAGTAAAACAAAAGTGCAGTAAAAAACATGCACTTCTAGCGTGAAAGTTGCATAAATGAATAAGAATTTAAAAAAACAAAGAAGAAACAAAAACCTTCATTAAAACTAGACAGCAAAGCTGGCAAATATACAGACACCGTACAAGAGACAAGTATTTATCGTTAATGTCAAGCAATCATGCCAATTTTCAAAAGCAGCCTGCCTCATTACCAAACAAAGCCACTCAGTAAATTTAAAGTAAAACAAAAATATGGCTTGGCAGTTATGGAACGAACAAAATATAGGGCACATACTAAAAAGCTGATTATACAGTCTTTTGAACTCAACTTGCTGTTTGACTTAAGAAAAGCTGTAAATTTATAATTAATAAATTGGCTGAAAAATGAAACACATTCCATGGTTAAAACTGGAAATGTATTTCAGACTAACTGAGACAAATCCAGGGTTTTGCAAGGGTGGTGGTGGGGAGATATACTACATGTAGTAGACAGGTGTTTGCCTCACTTTGAAACTGAAGATGTTAAATGCAGTAGGCTGAAGATGAGGCTGCCATGAACTCACCAGAAGCTCCACAGTGGTGCTGGCCTTCTCCAGGTTGATCCTCTTGAAGGCACATTTCTAGTTCTTTGGTGTACACAGGACAGCCTGTACCACAGCAGTGTCCAGTCTGGGCAAAATTTGATTATATATATATCACTAAACTACAGCAGTAGCC